CATTAGGTAATATTCTATCAATGTTAAATTTCTTGGGTGTGATATATAATTTTTTTTGGCTATGACATAAAATATCCTTGTTTTAAAAGATCTATAATCTCTCACATCAGTGTTTCTATCTTTCTCTCCCTTCCTCTAAAAGTCAAAAATTTTAAAAAATAAATAAGAGATCCATGCTACCGTATTAGGCATCAAGTGCCATCATTTCTGTAACTTCCTTTCAAATGGCTCTGCAGAAAGTAAAAATGTTATGTGTACACATATATAGAAAGCAAAAGAATCTAAATATGAATAACAAATCTCAGTCAAGGGCATATGGTGATTTGTTATACTATTATTTCAATTTTTCAGTAGGTTTGAAAATTCTCAAAATAAAGATTTGGGAAAATAAAGGGGGAAAAAAACCACCTAATCTGGTCCTGTAGTGCCTGCCTCCAGACTGCATGGCCCTTTCATTTTAGGGGGCAGCGTCTCCAGAATGCCATATTATCACTGTCAGTGTGACCTCGGGGCCTTTTGGGCATGATTTCAAGCTAACATCTGCATCTGCCCCCATCACCGGCTATTTCACAAACCTGTCCGCGAAGATACTGGACAGGTAATACACGGCAAGTCCCCGGTGTCCACTGAATGGCGCCTGGCAGTCGCTGCCCAGTGGATGAAAAAAAAAAAAATCACAGATGCCTTGTTTATAACTACAGTCAGTAACCCAATCCTCCTTCCTCTGCAGGTCTCCGGCCCCGTTCTCGCTCTCTTTACTAAGTCAAGGTATCAGCTTAGCTGGGGAGCCCAACCTCAGCCTTCCATCGCCAGCGTTCTCATCAGTCTTCTTCCCCTTAAAGCTCCCACACACTCACTGCGCTCTCCCCTGGGAGCCTTTCCCCAGTAACTTCTCTCGGCTCTCGGAGCGCGGATAGCTATCTTGTATTATAAATATGAAAAGCCCTCCCATCAGGAGAAGGTCCGGGGTGGGGGGAGGAGGGACTGGGTAATTAAAAAGAAGCTGTGCCAACGGTGTCGAGCACGAGAGCCGGAGACTCAGCAACAAGTCTCGGAAAGTGATTCCTAGAAAGAGAAGCTGGAGGAGTGGGGCGGAGGTGCGAGCAATCAGCAGGGAACCTCCTGGCGACGAGGGAAGAGACCGGACTAGAAACAAAGAAGTGTGAGCTCCGACTGCCCCTCAGTCTGGCCGGGACGACTGGGCGTCGAGCTGCGAACGCCGAGCAGCCGGCGCGGACGGAAGCGGCCAGGCGCATCCTGCGCCCTAAACAAGGCGGAGATGACCGCCCCCGGGGCTCTGTCGAGTTCAAGTCTGAACTCGGGCGTCTGGAAACTCCAAAAAGCAATACTAGTTCGGGTGCTGGCCCAGCTCCCTTCATGGACGGGTACACCCGCGGCCGCGCCCTCCGACCTCGCCCCCAGCGCGGGATGGGC